GGAAGACAGCATCCACACTTCAAAAGTGCATAAAATGAGGATTACCAATGCCTGAAAACGGCTGGTTTTCTGACAAAACTCTGTAGTGTAGACATACCCTAAGAAGGCCCATTGAGTCAAATGACCCATTGTGAAATATTAAAGAACAAAGACATTGATTATTTCCCCCCCCCCCCCCCCAATATCCATAAAGAGATGTGAAGATGGATTCATCCCATCATCTTGAACTAGATAAGAACATAAGAATAGCCATACTGGGTCAGACCAAAGGTCCATCTAGCCCAGTAGCCAACAGTGGCCCGCACTAGGTGCCCCGGAGGGGGTGGACCAAAGGCAATGATCAAGTGATTTGTCTCCTGCCATCCTTCTCCAGCCTCTGACAAACAGAGGTCAGAGACACCATTTCTATCCCCTGGCTAATAGCCTTTTATGGACCTAACCTCCATGAAATTAGCTAGCTTCTCTTTAAACTCTGTTACAGTCCTAGCCTTCACAGCCTCCTCTGGCAAGGAGTTCTACACACTGAGGCTATGTTTAGACTGCAAGCCTCTTTCGAAAGAGGCTTTTTCGAAAGATACTTTAGAAAAAGCCTTTTTCGAAAAAGAGCATCTAGACTGCAAGCAGAACTTTCGAAAAAGCAAGCCGCTTTTTCGAAAGAGAGCACCCAGGCAGTCTGGATGCTCTCCTTCGAAAAACCCCTGTTTGCATTCAAGAACGCCTTTTTTCGAAAGAGCACTTTCGAAAAAAGGCGTTCTTCCTCATGAAATTAGATTTACCGCCGTCGAAAGAAAAGCCGCGTTCTTTCGATTTAATTTCGGCTACTTTTTTCGAAAAAAACCCTGAGTCTGGACACAGCCTGAAAGAATGGAATAAAAATCCCTGACAAGAAGGAATTTGTCTCTATGTGGATTGAGTTCTGAGTGGTGAAGCTTCTTAAGCATGAGCAAAATATCCCTAGCTGTTTTTCCTGAGTTAGTCCTAGAGGACTTACAGAGCTGGCATATAACAGCAGTTTAGATTACCTTTTGGAACCTAATATTATAACTCACCTGTGTGTGAATCTCGCTCTGCTTTAACCTGGTAAATAACTCTCTTTTTTAAGTTAGTAGGTCTTTAATTAGTTTATTATAGGATTGGCTACAAGTACTGTCTTTGATATAAAAGTCTCAGAGGGGTAGTTGTGTTAGTCTGTAACTTCAAAAATGAATAGTCCTGTAGCTCCTTAAAGACTAACAAAAATATATAGTATCAGAGCTTATGTGGCCAAAACCCACTTCTTCAGATGAAGTGCTACAGGACCATTGTTTTTTAAGTTTCTTCAGATGAGATGATCTTGAGTGGAGGAAAAAAAAGGGAACCCTCAGAATAAGAAGGGAGAGGGAGAAAAAATGTACCTGTCAATTGTAGTCCTGGTGTTAATTAGGTTAATTAAGTAGTGGTCAATAGGGTGTTGAATGTAAGAAAAGTTGTTTTTATAATATGTGTATCAATTCAAGTCTTTGTTCAGGCTGAGGGAGACAGTGTCAAATTTGCATATGAAGGTCCATTCTGCACTCTCTCTCTGTAGCTGGGGTGAGGTGGAGGTGGGGGGGGGGAGTTTGTGCTGCGTGTCCTGGGGTAAGTTAGGGGAGGGGTGGGGAGTTGGTTTGTGCTGTGTATCCTGCAAATGTGAGAAGCAGGATTTTATCCCCACCCCTGGCTGGGCTGTGGGGGAGCAGATTGCACAGGGGTAGGTGGGGGAAAGGGTGGTGGGTAGGTGCTGGCATCTGTGCTGTGAAGTGGAGGCAGGGGCAGTTTGTTTCGGGTCTCCTGACTCACTCACCACAGTCCTTTCTGTCAGGGTGCCAGGGTGTGTGCCAGGACATTGCATGATTACATTACAAACAAAGTTAACATAGGTGTTAATGGCTTACTGTAAGAAAGAAAAAGATTCTTTTAACAAATATTTTTGGAGTGTTGCAGATATCTAAAACTCTGATCTTAATGATTTTTAAAATCCTGTGTTACTAATTAATACATGGCATATTGTATTGCATTGAGGCCAAATCTATGCTATGTGGTAGAGTTCTGGCTCTTATGAGTCAGAAGTAGCAAGTACTAGGTGTGATGCTAGTTATTTTGTAGGCTGAAACCTTATTTGCAAGCTCTTTGACACATGTATCTGTCTACAAACCATGAAGTCATGTGTTAATTTGCTCTGGAGCTTCTACTCTTTGAGTTGGTGACACACACAAGATAAAGGTTTCAAACCATGAGAACTTTTTTCTGTTTTTACAGCATTGGTCCTAAACATTCCCCAGAGAAACTATATAAACCTTAGTGAACGCCTTTTACTCTCCTTTCCAGTGTCAGTAAATGTATTAGTCATGCTCTCCTTGCAAATACTATTTCTAGTTGGCTCATAGATTTGTTTAGCATCTTAAAGCTGAGCTATGTGGGTATAATATGCATTTTAGTGTGTTTACTAGCTTGAGTTATTAGGAAGGATGATGATACATGTACTCCAAAGATAGTGTTCATTTTCTTTTTCTTTTTTTTATTTCACATTAAATGTCGTAAGCATTTCTCCTTTTTAACTATTTCTAGTTAAAAAGGAACAATGCTTACGATATTTAATATGAAATCAAATAAAAAATGTGCACCAACAATACAAACAATAATATGTGTGTGTGTGCTTGTTTGTATTGGTGGTACACATCCACACAGTACCTCAATATTGATGTTGCACATAAGAAATTTCAAGCCACCCAAGGATAGAAAATGTTGGCGGGAACACTGGTCAAAAGACTTAGTAAGATCAACAATAATTACATATAGGTCTTCATCTTGCTCACACCACTTCTTCTGAACTTTCTGGACTGCAAAGATCTTGTGTGAAGTACCGTGCCCAGGGCAGAGGCCATAAAGGCTTTCAGGCAATATCTTCTCTGCAAAGTGATCAATTAGCTGGTTTAGCATGGCCCAGGTAAGTGTTTTTCATGCAATGTCAAAGAGTGAGATGCCACAATGGTTACTGAAAGAGAACTGGTTGCCTTTCCTTTTGTGTAGCTGAATGATACTGACATCTTTAAATTCCTGTGGCGCAGCATCACGTTCCCAAACTTTAGGTAGAAGCCAGTGAGTTTCCTGATCAGCCCATTCTTAACCCGTTGCTGTACCACGTTACATTGGCTTTCTAAGCAGCACATAACAACTGTGTTAAAAGAACATTATTAAGGTTGCCAAGTCCAGCACTCAAAAGACAGGAATTGCCAGAATTCAGGTTGTCTTTGCAACCTAATTCAGCCCACTAGTGTTTATGCATTATGATACAATCTTTAATGGCATGATCACATGTATTTTTTCCATATGACCACGCTGCCTCATTCAGTGGACAGCACTCAGTTAATGAGCAGCTCTTCGATATTTGCTTTATCCTGATTGTTCAGCATGTGAACCGATGCCTTATTCATTGCAAATTATTCAAACCCAGTTCTGAAGACTGAATTATTAATTTCCTCATGGACTTTCACAAACATTAATTTATTTTCACAACACCTCCATGAGATGACAGGGTATTATGGGTCAATATTGGCTTGAGATACGCAATTCCAGCTACATAAATAACATAGGTGGAGTTGACATACATTAAGCTGAGCTAGAGTGCCATCCTCACCACAGGAGGTTAATGGGAGAAATGCTCCCATCAACTTCCCTTACTCCTCTTGACAGTGAGATGTACCTATGTCAGCAGGAGTGCCCTCGGTGTTTGATTTAGCATGTCCTCACTAGACCCGCTAAAATCAAACGCCAGAAGATCAACCACCAGAGTGTCGATCTTCCCAGTAAAGTAGACATGCCCCGAGGCACAAAGAGATCATCTAAAGTATCCACTTATATAGGGTGCCCAGTTGGAGATACCTACAATTTTATTTTTCAGGATATGTAGTATTATATAGCACAAGCACTGGTGCCATTAAGTTCACCTGGATCTGTGAGTACTCCACACTTCCAAATGCCAAATCCCTGGGTCTCTGGTAAGGCACCCAGAAAATGAAGAACACACAATTAGTGATGACCTGTAAAAAGTTTGGTTTAAGTGACTTGCCCAGAATTATGCAGGGATTATGTGGTAGAGGCAGTTCTCCAAGACAGCAGTCACCTTATCCATGAAATCATCCTTTCTGTTCCTCCAAGTCCCTGCCTCATTCATGATAGTCTTCCATATTCTGCAACATAATGAAGCAGGGGTCCATATACAAATAGTCCCCTTCATTACACAACCCTGATTCATTCCCGAGCATGTCCAACCTATGCACTAAATGAGGTTGGGATTCTTGGAAAAAATAGTAGGTGATGATGTAATTAAAGTCTATACCTTAATGCATAAGCACAAAGGGGCCAAACAGATTGGATGGATGGATGGATGGATGGATGGATGGATGGAGGCAATTTATTAGAGATTTGGACCATTAGGGGTGTCCTGACAAATATGGTGGGCATTGTGTAATGAGACAGTCAGATATGAAAATGAATATTCTGTATCACGTGGGTGCCAAACTTAAGGAAATATATCACATTTTCAGCACTACTGAATGGATACTTCATAAAACATCTTTCATTTAAATGGAGAAAGAATTTTCTTGTGTCCAAATATGATCTAAAAGTTTTCATCTGACTTTTTTACTTTCTTCCCTATGTATCTATTTTCATTTACTTGCTCTGTTCAGTACCTGTGTCTGTTTTGCAGATCAAAACTGCACTAATTTGGGAAGCAGTTTATATCAGCCATAAAAACAAATGTTATTAACTTTCTTTCCTTTGAATTATTAACTTCTCAAAAATAAGAACAGCCATAAATGCTTTTGTCTCTATAGGGAGCAATCTGGAAATACAAAATGCATTTTTCCATATTAAGTGCATATTCTTTGCAAACATGTTTGCAAATCAGGGACAAAATAAAACTGAAAATATTTTGCACTTCAAAAATAATGAAATATATTCTTATTCTGCCATTGTAGACCACGCAATGCAGATCAGTTTATGCAAGAAGCTAAGCGGAAGAAGCATAAAGCAGATGCGATGGTGAGCACATTTTATTTTCAGTTATGTTGCTCCATATTATTTTTTGTAATGGCTCTTCTTCAGTGCAACATAGCTAGGGTAATTATAAAATCTATTATCAGGATGGCTGGACTTGGTAAATTAAGAAGTGTTTATACAATCAAGTTTTCATAGCCTAATAAACTATGACTTAAATAACAACCTACTAGCATCAACTCTTGGATAAATGAAAATTTCCATTTATTCTTTTGCTTTAATTAGTAACTATAGTAACAGGTCAAAATTTTGAAAGGTATTTAGGTGCCATGGCTGTCATTGTTGCAGCACCTAATTGAGTTAGGAACCCAAATCTCATTTTCAAAAGGATTTAGGAACCTAAAAGACACTCTTTGTCAATAGCACCTTTTGAAAATGAGACTTAGGCTCCTAAATCAACTGGGCATAGCAACGCTGAGCACAAATACTTTTAAAAATCTGGGTCATAACAACGCTATCAGATTTTCAAAATGTCTTTTTTTCCTGTAGAGCTAGCCATCTAGCCACTGGCTTGACATACCTCACTGTGACCAGTGGACTGGTCCAAAGATCGTAGAAACTAAAGGAAAGACTCCCATTGATCTCAAAGTACTTTGGATTAAGTACTTTGGATTAAGTACTTTGCTCTCAGGCCAGAGGAGTCCTGGTTTTATTACAGATATTTCCATCCAAAATAATGTCAGTACACAGATAATCATTTCTCTGTTTGACCTCTAGGAAATTCCAGTGTAACCACCCTGGCACAACTGACCAATGCAGTAACAAATTCCTGACCCTAGCTTTGTCTACTCTCATGGGCAGCCACGGTTTCCCTATAACAAAGTGGTGGCTGAGGCTGTATGTGGCACTGAGGCACTCTTCCCCCCACCTCAAAGAACAGCGGAAGGAACATGCTGGGGATAGGACAGAGCACACAGTGCTCTGACAGCTCTTTAGCTAGTACAGCAAGTCCCTTTGGCTGCTCTTAGGGAGGCATGTTGCCAATGCTGCCCAGTATCAGGGGAGCAGAAATGTGACTTGGAGTCCACATTCTTTGGCTATGCTGAGCCTAAGTTGCCCAAGGAAGCAGAAGCAGGGGTATGTCTACACTACCCCGCTAGTCGAACTAGCGGGGGTAATGTAGTCATCCGCAATTGCAACTGAAGCCCGGGATTTGAATTTCCCGGGCTTCATTTGCATAAAGCCGGCCGGCGCCATTTTTAAATGCCGGCTAGTTCGAACCCCGTGCCGCGCGGCTACACGCGGCACGGAGTAGCTAGTTCTAATCCGAACTAGCTGTACTCCTCATCAGGTTTTTCCTGATGTCCAACCTAAACCTCCCTTGCTGCAATTTAAGCCCATTGCTTCCTGTCCTAATCTTTTGATTGATCTCCTTCTGGATCTTGACAGAAACCAACTAGTGCAAATGCATGCTAAATCTGGACAAGAAAAGGAATTAAAAATAACTTCACACGTTAAAACCTCAGAGCTTTGATCCACGTCTCATTTGTATTTTAGGGGGAAATTTCATCCTCATGATCATTTTCTAGATCTTACCTGCCTTGATTATTTTCCTGTAGCCCTCTGGCAAGAACTCAACAAAACTCCAACATTATGTTCCTTATTTCTCTTAGTTAGAAGCTAGTCATTCCCTTTCTTTGTTCAGCATTGAAAAATTGTATTTACATCCAAGCATGATGAGTGATAAGCCTTTTGGGTCATTATGTTTTTCTCTGGTTCTTTTTTCTCCTCCTGCTCCTTCTTTTGTTATTTTATCCAAAACAGTTTGCTCAACTTTAGCATACATTTCCTTGATGTTAACTTTTTCTTTGTTGTAGTGTCGCTTCCTGACAACCATATTTGTCACTTAGAATTGGAAGGTCTGTTCTGTGTCAGCTTGCATCTACCATACTTTGGTGTAATTTGTTTTGCTGCTGTTTGTAACCATAGCTTGGTGACTCCAGTGTTTCTCTGTATCCTTATTTTATCTGCCAGGTGGAGAAATTTGGAAAGGCACTGAATTATGCTGAAGCAGCATTATCATTTATTGAATGTGGAAATGCCATGGAACAAGGCCCGATGGAATCTAAATCCCCTTATATGATGTATTCAGAAACAGTTGAACTTATCAGGTAAGTTAGTAGGGAACAATAGTCCTGTTTGGGTATATTTCCGTCGGGAGAACATACCTTAATGCCTTTAAACATGGATAGAAATTAGAGATGGAAATATATTTTTTAAAAATCAAAAACAAGGAACCCCAGAACAGCAATATTCATCATTTGGGGTTATCAGTACTAATCCAAGCCAGATTGGTAGTGATTAAAAATCAATGCAATCCCATTGCTGTTTGTTAGTCCATGTGAAATACATTGGTAATCGCAATCCTGTTCCTGCTGGACAAGCATTCACATCACAGCCCTCCTCTCTTATCATAGCTGGCATTAACAGGAATCCTTACTGACAGTCTCAGCTAAGAAAGGAAAAGATTGAATCAACTTTGAATCAACTGAGCTTTTTTTCTCATCCAAAGAATTGGTCCGTCCAGCTGGTGAAGAAAATGTGCACGGCTGGTGGCCATGTTATTCTTTCTCTGTAGGTAGAGACTTTCATTCCCCAGAGCAGTTGGCGATGCAGCTTTCACTCACACTAATTTCTCTTTCCAAATGTAATATTTCTAACATCATAGCTCTTTTAAAACAATTATTTTCTTCCAGATTTCTCTGCTGATCTAGCCATATTCTCATTTGTGTAAACAATTCCACTGTATTGTGCTCGCAGTTTGGGATTGCTTCTCATGCTCTTTAGTCATAGTAAAGCAAACTCAGCCAGCTGACTCTGACAAGAAGGAATGACATGAGACAAAATACCTTTTACTCACCACTATAAAGCTCTCTATACTTTGTCCTACCCCTCCCCCACCCAAGCAGCACAGTTGCCCTTCTCCCTCTGCTTTCTCTTCTCTACAGTATATTTATGGTCATGTCTCTGTGCCTGAATTTTGTTTAGAGCTCCATCTATTCATGCAGCAAGGATTTAGTAGTTATAAAATGCTTAAGAGCTGCCTGCTAGGTGTAGTCCAAAAAAGTAACTGATTTATCACGACAAGTGCTTATTGAAATAAGGTGCAGATTATCATGCACACGTGTATTTGCACTGATGTCAGAATTAGAGTTTGATAACAAAGAGGATGATGAAATACAATCAGCTCATTACAGAAAACATGTTTTTTTTTCTGGAAACAAGCCCAGAGGTATTGTATGTTGCTCTAAGCTTGACAAGTGCTTAGGGGCTGAACCAGAAGCTGAGATTTCCATGAATTGATCTGGCACTGGATAGCACATAGATTCTTGAAATAGCAATACTACAATTGTAGATCTTTGAAGAATTTGAATTGAACGTCATAGGAGCAAAATAAGTGTGAGCCAACTGCTGCCCTCTGCTGCACAGTGCTTAGAGGAGCAAAACCGGACAGACATGCTCAAAATTTGCAGTGTGAGGACATCATTGTCTCCATGGTAGTCTCTCTTCTGCTCTCAAATCCTGTGGAAGCCTTTTTGCAGAGTTGGGGTTCCACAGGGCTGGAAAATATTTTGAGAGGGTTACACAGGGCAAATCAAGAAGCATTAACGTGACAAAGCAGGATCCCCTTAATGCTGTCTGGATTTCCAAGGGATTTACTGCTGGTTGAAGAGAGTTTATTAGACAAGGAGGGAGAGAGAACTATTGATGGAACGGCTCCAAAGCGTGGACTGAAAAACGCAATGTGCATCTGTGGAGACTGAAAGAATAAATATAGTGGGGCACATTGTGAGCTGCTGTAAATCAGTATAGCCTCATGAATCCAGAATATGATCAACAGCAAAGTAAGGGCTGTTCACACACACTGGCCTTAATGCTGGATTTTCCCCTTTTTTTAAGGTATGCTGTGAGATTAAAAACCCACTCAGGCCCTAATGCCACTCCGGAGGACAAACAGCTAGCAGCATTATGGTTAGTAGATCATTATTTACTCAAAGATGACTTTGATGCAGTGAATCAGTCCTTGAAAATCAAATACTTAATGCTGTCAGGTAGAAGGCTTGGTTTTGTGTTGTCATTGACAGAGAGAGAATACTTCCTGATCCAAGAAGATTCAGACCTCTGTTATCTGCTTTTCCTTGTATTACTGTGCCTGGTCTGAGTTCTGTTTCTGTAAATAAGCAATTCATATTTATTGGCTGTGACAGGACAGCTATGGCATCTCAGTATAATTAATTTTTAAGTGCCTGATGGTCTGTGTTTTTATGACTGATGCGCTTTCCTTGTAACAGCGTCTCAGTAATTTCTTCAGTGTATAACATTTTAGGTTCAGTCATCATAAATTATACTCATATTGTATGAAGGGTTAGTAAGTTGATAATTAAACAATTTGGATTCACTCTCAGAATGAAGATTTCCAGATATATGCATTTAACTTTGATTCTTTAAAACATTTGTTGAACACTAATAATAATGTTATTAAATTTAAATGTAAATGTTAACAACTGTATAGTTAACATAAATCGTATCTATTACATGTTTATGGATTCTTCGTAAATGGGTTTTACAACAATTTGTTCTTAACACCTGTAAAAATGTATATTTAGAATCTATAAATTAAACAATATTAATGTATCATTTTATATAAAAAGAAAACACTCTTTAGTGATCTATTTTTAATGAAAATATGTCCTTTGTCATTGCTTTGATATACAATTGGCTGCACAAATTAGATTAACAACAATATGTTTTTAAAATCCTTAAGTGACTAAAAATAGTTTTAAAAATTGTCGACCATGTCTATTTCTGAGTTTTGTAACGTTTTCCAGAACAGACATAGTGTTTTAGCATGTGCAATTTAATTCAGATTCATAAAGCCACTGCCTCTGTTTAAGCAGAAAGGTCACAGTGAGGGAAAGTAGGCAGAGGACTCCTTCAGCACAGAATAGCAACCCTAACTCATTTTCTGCCACATAGCAGATGAGTAGACATCATTTGCATATGTACTGTAACCTATGAAGGTGACAGTATGAGAATTATGAGGACTGTAAGTCCATTGTATCCTTTGGCTCTGTACAATGCAAACTGGGCATGCTGCCATGCAACTAGTTTATCTGATTCTGATCTCCTAAGGAGAGACTGTCCTCTGGTGGTAAAAGAGGAAATTTCAAGGCTGCAGATCTAAAAATAGGCAAACACTATGAAAGAGAATTATAACAACCCTGGCTAAAATTTGCGACTGTGGCTAGTGATTCTGGGTGCTTTGATTTGATTTGGGTGGCCCAATTCATTTTAAGTGGGTGAGATTATCAGAAGGTAAGAACACTGCACTTTCAGGATGCTTTTAAGTATCTCAGAATGGACATCCAATACCACAAATAACTTTCATAATCTTGGCCTCTGTGACCAAAAGTAAACAAGCATAATGGATTTTTGTTGTGTTACATACCCCCCCCCCCCCTCTCCCATGTTGTGAATACTCAAAAACCTGATAGCAAAGATAAAACATTGTGAATGTATCATTTATTTGTCCATTATGGTTGTTAGGTGTGTTATGTAGATGGAGGATTGTAGAATCCCCATCATTGGAGGTTCTAAGAACAGGTTAGACAAATATCTGTTCTGGGATGGTTTAGGTACACTCAGTCCTGCTTCAGTGCAAGGGGAAGCTAGACTAGAGGATCTTTTAAGATGCCTTCTTGCTCTTCATTCTGTGACTGTATAATTATTATTAATTACATTATTGTTTATGCATAATAAAGGTGCCTAATGCTCTACAGAAACCTTAGAGGCAATGGCCAGATCTTCCCCTAGGCTTCCCTTTTGTTTTAGTTATTACTGCTTAGCATGCTCTTTGTACAGGAATCCTCAGGCAGAATAAATTCTTTTTAGCATCCTCTAGTCCGCAGGGAAGGCATAAAACTAGGGAAGTGTAGCCAGGTTAAGGGCATCCCTGTTCCCTGGCAATCTCCAGTTACTAGAAAACTCCGCTGGGAATCACAGGCCTGAGACTGTTCTTATTTACTCTATTGATGAGGCTATTCCTGGGGTACCAGGGTCACGGGTCACAAAGGGCACCTTTATGCTTTCAAAGTACTATAATACATTTTATATTGTGTCATCTTTCTGTTTGTCCTAGTTATCGCTGTTTGGCACTTCTATACTGGAGAATGTTCCGACTCAAGAGAGACCATGCTGTAAAATATTCAAAAGCACTTATTGATTATTTCAAGGTATTTTCATGTTATATTACATTTTCAATTTGCTAATAATTATGTGAAATAATGTATCTTTTTTAAAAAGAATAGTCCACTTAGACCCAATCCTACTCCCACTGGAGTTTTGACATCCACTGCTTCAGTGGAAGCTGTTAATTTCCAGTCTGCTGTTCTTTATTCACCAAAGCACATGCCTCTAATATACAAAATGTATAACTTGCTGAAGGAAGTGAAGCTCACCATGTCCATGAAACTGACATATCCTGCCCATTTTCCAGTTTCTTGATTGTCTGATATGATTCATGATGCTCTGCAATGAATAGGTTTTACACCATTCACAACAGGAATCCACTTCAGGATGCACTTCAGGCTAGATTTGGGGACTTTGAGCTAGCTTCATATTTGGAATAACTTGTAGAATTCCTATTTATGGACATCAGCATGTAAGAAAAGGCAAAGGGACAAATTCTTCTCTATGGTACTGGGCTGGAGTCCACATTGGCTTCAGTGGGAGTTGCATACAAGTATCTGTGGTCAGAATATATACCAGCTCGGCACACCTATGATTGCCTCCGCTATCTATATTGTTTTCTCCAAAGAGTCCCTTCAGTTCTCCACTCTCTCATAATAAAGTGTGCCATTTTATTTTTAAGATAGAAAGTCATTTGATTCTTAAAATTTCCTCCAAAGTGACAATATTTCATTGGAAAACATCTGGAAATCAAAACATTCCACATAGATCTATAATAGAGTTGGTCAAATATTTGGCCTACAAATATAATCTTTGTATTTCTAGATGAAAAAACAAAAATTGTTGGCTGCTGCTACCCTACAAGTCCTTTTTATATCCTGAGATATAAATCAGAGATCAGTGAGGGTATAAATGCTCAACAGTGCTGATTTTCTTTGGGGACCCTATGTAGTCATTTGGCTTGGGTATTTTAGTATATTTTTTAATTTGGAGGAAAGGGGAAAGAGCTTGTATCTTCCTATACATCAAATAGAAGTAAATTTTCAGCACAGATATTTTCATGACCAAATTATAAACCCATGAAAATAGACAGGAAAGGAGACAAATCTTTTACTATCAAAGTGAAATTGGTGTCACCAAAAGTGGATGTAAATCCTGAGTAATATTTAATTAAAACTGTTGTGTTTCTCTAATAATCATCTTTACTTTATTGATAAGAAATCAGTATATATTTTAATGCTGTAATCTGCCAATTCAAATAACATCTGTAGTAAAAATTGGAAATTCAGTCCCACAATCATGTGAAATGCTTCTTAAAAGAAGAAAGAGTGCTTTCTACAGAGAACAAAGGTGATGTTTATTCGTTATTATACTAACATAAAGGTCATGAAAACAAGTGTGGGGGTTGTTTTGCAGGCATTCTGCTGGTATAATAATTCTATAGATTCTCATTCAAAAGTAAAGTAAAACATAAAAAATTGTTCATTTGTCAACTTTTGCAGTAGAAAACAAACCAATTCTAGACTTTCATATATTTGAGTCTCAAATCTTAGAAAATCATTTAACATGACACTCTAGCTGCATTAAAAATCTGTCAGATATACTGTCAAATAAGGAAACATCTCAAAATTTGTCACACATTTCCAGAGTAAATTAGATATCTCTTTCTTTTAAAAAAGAACAAATATTTAAATCTTCTTTTAAACTTTTTATTTCCATTTTCAAAAAAAAATAATAAAGCAGCGATTTTTAAGAAGTCACAGACATTTGGGAGTTAAAGATTTTTTAAGAACATGAGAGATTCCTTTTGGGTCGTGAAAGCAGAATAAAGCTCAGAGTAGAATCAGTGGTGAGGGAGAAGGAGCTGTAAGTTAGACTCAATTATGCTTTCTGAGAGCTACTTTCCTCCTCATACTGGTGTCCAACACAATATAAACTAAATAGGACATCGGCTATTTTAATGTACATTGTAAGTGTACCGTACCTTCTTCCAGCTCCTCGATGTGTAAATTACTTGTTCTTAGGGTACATCTAAATTACATCCCTCTTTCGACAGAGAGATGTAAATTAGGCACTTTGAAATTGCAAATGAAGCCAGGATTTGAATTTCTTGCACTTCATTTGCATAATCACATAATGGCGCTCTTTCAAAAAAGCGCTATTTTGAAAGTAAAACCGCGGTTCTTTCGAAAAGGGAAGGCTTTTTCGAAAGATCCTATAAACCTTGATCCTGTTAAGCCTTTCCTTTTCGAAAGAACTGCGTCTAGACTGCGGTTTTACTTTCAAAATAGCGCTTTTTTGAAAGAGCGCCATTATGTGATTATGCAAATGAAGTGCAAGAAATTCAAATCCTGGCTTCATTTGCAATTTCAAAGTGCCTAATTTACATCTCTCTGTCGAAAGAGGGATGTAGTCTAGACGTACCCTTAGACTCTCTTACCCATCAGCATGATGGACCCTAAGTGGTTTTGAGGGAATCTAGCGGAATCTTAAATGGATCTCTGAAACCAAGGCGAGGACAGTCTGGTCTGGATGTTGGAGACAAGAGTCAGAGCCAGAATCAGGAGTCAAGAGTAGTATTGGGACAAGATAAGAGCAGGGCAGGAGCAGGACTAGGGACAACACTGGAATAAGGCCAGGTCTGGAGCAGGCTGAGTGCCGGGGAATCTGTCACTACTATTGGGCAAAGGAGAGTTCCAAGGCATGAAGCAACATTGATCGATACTCAGCTGGTGTTGTGCCTCTGAGGCTTGTAGACCCACTCTGAAAGTCACCAGATCAGCTCCTTGTTTGTGGATTGGCTGGAGCCTAACACAGGACTGGCTCATCCCTGCATGTGGCTTAATCAGGCTCTGGTTCAGGGCAGACTCATTGCCTCACACTGAAAATAAGGGAGTCCCTCTGACATCACCCTTTGTTCCACCTCTCAATTTGACCCAGTGGACTTTATGGCATCAGGGGACTTGAATGCACTTTCCACACATATCACCTCTACTTTTTTGCACCCCATCTTTACATTCTCTTTGCTGACATTAATTTCACAATCTGTTTAAATTAAAAGTTTGTACATTTTTTTGTTCCGTTTACAGAATTCATCAAAAGCTGCCCAGGCCCCATCTCCGTGGGGTGCCAGTGGAAAGTAAGTTCACTCATCATACAGAAATTATGTCTGAATAGCAGTGAGAAATGGTGTTTGCTAACTTCTGCTATTTTCATGTTTATCCATGTCACCCTAACATGGCTATAATGTTCTGTTTCAGGAGCACAGGAACTCCATCCCCCATGTCTCCTAGTCCTTCTCCTGTCAGCTCTGTAGGGTCCCAGGGGAGCACTGGGGCCCCTTCTCCCTCTTCCACCATCAGCATTCCACAGCGTATTCATCAGATGGCAGCCAATCACGTCAGTATTACCAACAGCATCCTGCACAGTTACGATTACTGGGAAATGGCTGACAATCTAGCCAAGGAAAACAGAGGTATGTAATCTAACACACTAAAACCTGGTATATGTCTTTTAAAAACCTGCCAATAAGACAAAATATTGACCGACTTTGACCATGGTCCTAGTGAAAGGTTTACACTAAATCCTGGATTACAGAGGTGTATTCTTTACTCCTATTCATGGCCTGTCCCATAAATTAACATAAACGGTTTTATCAGCAGTCCTACTCAGAAAGAGGAAAATCTTACTCTACCTATAAAAAAACTTTTTCATCACCAGCATTCCCTCTAAGCTGCGGGGCAGCAAAGCTTCACAGATGAGTAATCAGCCCTTCCTCCCCACCCCAGTCAGTCAGCTGCCTGCACAGAGCCCTGAGCCTCTGACTGAGAGGGCCTGATTAATCACCTTTGAAGCTCTGCAGCCCTGCAGCTTAGAGGGAACAGTGCTCATCACTTCACTCTGGCATCCCGCAGCCCCTCTCACCCTTTTCCCCAGCGCTGTCTGCTTGGCCGCCAGGAGGAGAGTGTGGGGCTGCCCAGGCCTCGGAAAGCCTCCCCCTCCCCCTCTGACAGCCATGAGGATAGCGCAGGGCACACGAGGCCTGGGAGTGCCCCACCACCCCCTCCAGCAGCCAGGAGGAGAGCGCTGGGCACACAAGGCCTCAGGGCAAACCTCCTCCCCCTCCAACAACCTGTGCCAGGAGAGGGGGGTTTAAGGTTAGGCCGGTGGGGGGGAGAGAAAGGGTCCTGGCTGGCACAACTTGAGGGGGGCTGAAGAGGGAACCTGGACTGGAGCAACACCCACCCCTCCCTGGTGGCCAGGGGGAGAGCCAGGCCTGCCTATCCCCACAGAAAAAGGGTTGGTGAGTGTAGCAAGCAGTGGGCACCACTCCTTAGTATCACTAATTTCTCTTTCATTTGTCTCTCTAGCTCTCACCCTTTTCCAGGGATAGAGTCACAGATAAATGACAGCCAATCAGGAATTAAATTTATCTTTTGAGTTCATTTTAATTCTCCTTCACAGAATTGAAATATCTTGTGTCAGAGCTGTAGAAATGGCTCTTTTTGGTCTTTTGTTCTTATTTTGCAAGAGAAAACAAATCAAATGCACGGATGACAGTCTCTAGTGATGGTGACTGCTACATAGACTCATATTTTAGCATGTATAAGGCATTAACGTACAGCTGTAGCACTCAGTTGTCTGTGGACATGTAGGACACCTCCCCTCTGACTATGCAGAGCCTGTGCAAACATCTATGGTGTAAATCCCATTACTCTACCTTAGCTCTGACACGGACAATTAAATCGTAGATCATCATTACATGGCAACTGGATAAACATGCAAGGCTAGGTTCTGTTCTGATCACATGAGGGTTTGAAGGTTGGTGGGGGAATAGCAGAGTTTCACCTCCTGTCTGTGGCTTAGGTAAGCAGCATGGATGCTCCTTGCCTATGCTATTCTGTCAGGCCCTATAAACTACAGCTGGCCCCTGCTTGGCATAGCTCTTGCAGGAGCAGTGCCTCCTGGGACTTTCTCAATTATCACTTCCTCTAGAATCCACCTTCAGTGGTGTGGCAGCAATAGCATAAGAAATATAGCTACAGGCTGAATTCATTTCCACTTATGTACATCATGAATTTTAGGCAGCTTCCCTTGTTCACCTCCTCCAGCATCATGGAGCCACATGGCATCAAGATTCAAAAGGGCCTGCATGACATGAGGATTCAAACATGCCAGAGGGTAGGATCACCTCCCATCTCCTCCAAGTTCTGACTTCCCTCCACATACAGACTTAGACAGGACGAAGGTGTCAATAGTTTTTACTTAGTCCATCTTCAGGCAAAGTTCCCTCATGGTTTAAATAGAAGTTTACCTGAAAATTATCTCAAGATTTGGCCTACCCTCACCCATATAGTTTCATTTTGAAAAGTGTTTAGGTCACGATAATTTGTGTATTTGAACTATAAATTATGTCTTTTTTTTAAGGATGCCACTGGCAAGTAACTCTTTTACACATGGTCTCAATAAGTGACAATGAAAGAAAGAATCAAGGAATTAGCTGTTTAATTTTTAAAATGAAATTGTTGGGAATACTCTGTTCATTGACCATAGAAGCCTTCAATAAGCCCATTAACCCTAAACTTTTTTTTTTTTTTATAAAATATACAGTGGGATTTAATTGGTTAATAATAGCTGTTACCTAGTGATAAATAGAAATGTGACTTTCAGTATTCTCATGCTTAATATTTTTCCATAGAATTTTTTAATGACTTGGATGCATTGATGGGACCTGTCACCCTACACAGCAGTATGGAACATTTAGTTCAGTACACTCAGCAAGGACTTCACTGGGTACGGAATAGCGCTCATGCAAAAGACTGTGTGCCATTCAAATGAACTATATAATCTCCCATGGACAATTCAGTTATTCTGGACACTGTGCTACAGAAATAATCCACCATAGCATTGACCCAAACAAAGGTGAATATTTCCTCAATGTTGAACAATGTTTTTTCAGAGTGTGGGCATATATGTGTGTATACAGCTATATCTCTTCAAAATGCATTGTTCCATAGCAATCTCCAAACATCCTCGTACCCTGGACTGAACTGACCACAGATGTCTTAATAAACATACATATTTCCTATACCCGTGCTTAGAAAAAACTCAGAAACCAAAATCTTAGGGGTTAATTGAACCAAGTGCAATAAACACAATGGCTCCTAATCAGGAACGCACTTAAGTGTGTGTTTAACTGTAATCATGTGCTTAAAAGCAATTACTTCAGTAAAATTTAAGCATGCACTTAGGTGCTTTCCTGAACTGAGGACAATGAGAGGCTGATGGGCCGTTTGGCAGCTCCATAGAACTTTCAGTGCGAGTGCACCCCCTCTCTCCTAATTCCTAATTGGGGTGTATGGATGAATTGTGTAGTCTGAAAAAATGTGGAGCGAGAACGCATTAACTTTTGTGCAATAAGTTTCAATAGCTTGCATTGTTGTTGTTTTTAATTTCTCATTCTTTTAAATCGCCTTACTTCCTGTTCAGCTTCTTTTAATCAACATTATTATCAAGGAAACAGCCTGAAAAATGGAAGTATTGGTAACAAGAAACTAGAAGAGAGTCTGGAAAATTGGACTGTCATTACAGGAAAGAAGTTAAAACAAAAATACTGCAACCCAGTTAGCAAAGTCCATTTATTGCATATACACACACATCTGTAACATTTATTTGCTTTGTGCACTGAGGCTTCACCTTACTGGCTCTGGCTTTGATATCTCTTCCATCTTAAAGTAGCTTGTTTGCAGTTTCTTGTAGGCTGTATCATGCCATTACATGAAATTCCCTTTATCTTGGAAAGCTGGGTTTGCTGCTCACCAGACTAAGCACTGTGTCCTATCATAATCCTCTCACTCTTCATGCATAATCCTCAACTAGGCTTTAATGTTTCTTGATTTATGGGGTGTTTTCAGACCCTGTTGACAGGCTGTGTCTTTTGTGCCAAGGGAATTAATTCTGAAGTAATTGCAGTTTAATTTGGATCCGCTGAGGTCATGGCCAGTTCATAACTAATGTGTTGTGCATTTTTATTCTTGGTTAATTTCATTTTCACTCATCTGGAAACATTTGATTGTTTTTATCTGAAATGTAATTTTATTGGTTATTTTGCACCCAGCTCTATTGCTGTTACTCATGCATGTAGCTACAAAACCTTCCATTGGATCACACAAATAAGAGCCAATAAATGTCTGTCTTCACTGCTACATTCTATTCAGATGTATCTCAACATTAATACGATGCTGGTGCAAAAAAATCACCAATAGCAGTTACATATCAAGAAAGAAAAATAGCCACTTTTGTAGTTGCCTTATATACTGTAATATCCATCTCTGATGCATTGTATTTAAAACTGTATATTGGATAATTTTGCCATAGGCAGATTAAGGTTTGCTGGGGCATTGGCCCTTCCTACCCTTTCTACCTGTGGTCCTGCCCCCATTCTGCCCCCTCCACATGTGACCAGCCCACAGCCCTACCTTTGTCTGCCTTTTCTCCAGGCCCTGCTCTTGCTTCAGCCCCGGTCCACACCATTTCACTGCAGCCCCAGGACTGGAGAAGCTCTGCCCCCACACCACAGACCCAGACCACAGAGAGAGTGAGAGCTTTCCCAGTCCTGAGGTGCAGCAGGTAGCAAGAGTTCCTCCAGTACCAGAACCACAGACAGGCTTCCACTGCCAGCCTCTGGCTTCTGTTGGGAAAGGGTCAGAGGGTGCTAGGAGTGTCCCCTGGCTCCTGCCAGGGATGGGGCCAGGAGGCGCTGGAGGCTTCCTCTGTGGTCAACCAGCTTCTGCCGGGATTGGGAAGCACTGAGGGCTTCCTTCACTGCCAAGCCTGCCTTGCCTGCCTGGCACTGCCGCTGGAATGAGGGGCATGGGGTTGCAGGCATGGGGTTTCCCCACTGCTGCGCCCTGCGCTGCTGCCAGAGAACAGGGTCAGGGATACCAGAGGGCTTCCCCTGCTGCTGCCCTGCCCAGCGCTGCTACCTAGGAGTGGTCAGGGTACGGGGGCTTTCTCCACCTGCCCAGGGCTTCACAGCCCCCATAGTTAGCCAGGGCCCCTGAGCATTCACCCGATAGGCCCAGTGGTAAATCTGCTGTTGGATTTAGCTTGTTACCCATTGTCTTACCATACATCTTTTAATGTGGTATGTCGACACTACCACTACAGATGTAATGTCCTGTTAGTAGTTACGCATGCACTACCTTTGATCAAGCTAACACATCAAACGTAGCAGAGGAGCAATCCCAACTGAGAACCCCAGTAATACTCTGGCAGCTAGCCCACTCTGCCATGGCTACTGCTATCTTTGGTGTACAAGCTCCATCAAAGCAAGTGAATACATCTATCTGAGCTGGGAATTATACATCCAGCTGCAGTGCAGACACACCCCATGTCATGTCCAGATTTCACTTTGCTTGTTGCCTGTTGGAAAAGAAATAATGCCATGTTGCCTGTTGGAAAAGAAATAATGCCAATAGTTCAGTTACAGTTGTTGGAATATAACTTAATCAGTGCTTCTCTGATTATTACCTGCCTGATGTCTGCTTGTGAGAGTCTGCTGGTGATTTCCTAGATGAAGAAGTGATTTAAATTATCTTAACACTGTGAGTAATTTGGTTCTATTCAGATACCTGTGTGAGAATTTCTGTCCAAGCAGACAAGTTAGATTTGCCTCTGCTTTCTTTGGTGGTTGCTTTAACATTTGTCGTGTGTGTGTGTGTGTGTGTGTGTTTGGGAATTATCATCTCTAATTTATGCTGGTTAAATTTAGAAACTTATATTTCTTGCCTTACGCAGATTTTAATGTGGCATTGGCATTTCATGTAAGGAACTTTGAATCATAACCCTTCCGCTATGACTGGGGATAATTTTTTGGAATTTCTTTGGCCACAATATATATGGCAATTTTACAGAAATTCAGGAAAAGTTAATGTCCTGTCATTGTAACATGTTTCCTGACTCCTAAGGGTTTCTTGGATATTTGTGCCCTGTCTTGTAAAGACGCGTTTATGCTGAATCCTTCCAGCTAAAATACACATCAAAGGCCATGGAAATGGTACATTGATTGTAGTTTTTGTGCTGGAATTACTTATGCTGAGCTCATGTAAACAGAAGAAACTCCATTGAAATCAACAGAGCAGGACCCATGTAGCCCAACAGAGAACTAGACTTCTGTCCACAATGCTCCTTACAGCTGGTCAGTTTGATGTCTTAGAGCATGCTCTTCAGCCACAGACATGTGTTTCATTTGTACAGTCTGCTTTTTGTCATGATTGCTGCTCTTTAAATAATTACAGATTCATGTAGTATGAATGACATCCAAAGACACTTCATTTCATTCAATTGGGGCCTGATCCTGATCAGTGCTGTGGGGCCTCAGGATCTGATCCAGCAAAGTCCTTAGTACAAGCAACACTTTAAGTACATTAGTCGTCCCATTGATTTCAGTGTGAGCTGAGGCTTCTGAGCACGTTGCGAGATCAGGCCCTCAGAGACCGCCCTTATTTTGCTAGCCACTTGCAAAGTCATGCCTTGTTTGTTTTAACTCATTGTTTCAAGTCCATGCACGTGATAAAGGTTCTCTTCTCTTGTATTAGAGATATCATTTCTATATTTCAGAGGTGAAGATGTCAGATGGTACAAACCCCACTCAAAAGTGAGATTATGCCTGGAGAGAGAGGTTTGGTAAAAATCAGAAATTTCTGAATGTGACAGATAGCTACTCTGCCAGCTGAAGAGCACAAATCCACTGAAATAGTATCCAGTAAAATGTGTGCCACAGTTGGACACAACAATGGCAGTACAATAAGGTTGTTTTTGCATTCAAAATGCCCTGAGGCGCTCTGAGATATTCACACTTAGGCCCTGGTCCTGTAAGATACACACCAGGGAGTGCAAGGATGAGCGGAAGATATGCATAGGTTCAGATATGGCTGAACACCGAGCATAGTCATCCATCTTATGTGGCGATAAATCCCAAGCCCGTTCCATAGTCCCCTCTTAATTCTAAATATCACAGGGTTTAACATGAAGGGGCATAGGCAGATGTTGGGCATATCTGAGGAGACATGGTATTCCCTGTATGCACAGTTCCTCTCAGATATTTAGTCCCCTAACTCCCATTTATTTCCATGGGAATTAAGTACCTTGGAGGATCTGGACCGTATCCCTCAGGATGCAAAATTACTGCTTATCTGGGCTTTCCTTTTGCTACTAGAAGTAACTTGGCACCCTGGGAAGCAGTAGTCACATTAATGCAGAATCAGATTCCCTGCTCTCCCAGTACAGCTCATTGCTTTTCACCTGTCACTTATACATGCAGAACACTTCATCTGTCCTGTACAGAATCAAGCCCTCGGTGTCAATATGCACCCATCCCTGTACACTTTATATCAAAATTATGAAAAAGCCCTATCAGTACAAAGGATATTACTAGTGTCTCCCATTGATCGAGTACATGTCACTGAATGGCTGTATCACCTCAGAAGAGCAGTAATTGTTATCAAGATAATGTGTGCAGCTAATTGATTTGTAAGACTCTCACCTTGGCAATGGTGCAGTAGTATCTCTTTCGTAATACCAATGTTCACCCATTTTTCATGGCTGTGATATAAATCTGCATCACTAAAATGCCAGGATATTTTTTAAGACGACATTCTCTTAGATCTGGCTAATCTGTGCTTAGTTTATCTACTCAAGAGACTTTACTAGTCACCAGCCTTAATGCATATACAGTATTGAGTGACTGAGTCACAGTGTTTAATCCTAATGAAACTGGAATTTGCAAATTGACTTGGATTAACTGTGTCTGCTACTGCTAGGTTATAGATGTGACATTAAATGATTATGGTTTTAAACAAAAGAGGTTGAATTTTATGTAAAGAACAGTGACTGGATTCCTTAATCTTTTTAGAAGATTTTTTAAATAACATGTTGTCAAAGTAATATGTTTTTTAACTTTCCTAGAATTTCGGAAGGGTTGCTGGTTCATGGTCATAGCTGTGTTAATGACATTTCCCTTCTACACTCTGTCTAGCCTTTACATAATCTGCTTAATACTTAATATGTCAAAAAAGAAATGTTTCTTTTTCAGAATGATTGCCAGCACTCTCCTCCCCCAGTTCAGTTGAAAGCCCTCAGACTAAAGAATAAAATCTCCTTGCACATGCTGACCCCATACAAATAACAATGATGGAATGAATTTCTTACACGGAAGACAGAAGTATGGCTGGCACAGATGAAAAATGTCTTTCCTTTTGATAAATTTTTTGTTATGCAATGAATTCAAACTCTTTCCTTACTTATATGGAGAGAATTATCTGACCTGCATCATCTCAGCAAAAACCAAAATCATGGCAGTGAGTCTCAGAATCCACATCAAGTGACTCAGCTTCATGGAGTGAACGTTATGGGCAGTGGTGCAGACATCTGGAGCCGGGGCTCTGGGAACTTCCTCCTTAACATGTGGGGGAGGAGGCCTGCTGTGTAGATGTACCCAGTGAAGTCTAGGGCAAAATTTCCTTCAACAGAGCCAAGATTTCACACTATTTATCAGTTAACGTGTTATAAGCTGTTTACAAGATCATTGGGAAAATCTTCCCATACGCCTGGATAATCCACCCGAGATCTGAAATTCCCCACAGTTTTTACCCATGATTCTCTCAAGAAAGCATTGTTTGTCACACAAGCTATGTCTACACAACAGAGCTTTTTTGGAAAATGGTTTTTTTTCCGAAAAATCTTCACTTACGTCCACGCTACAATTGCGTTCTTTCGAAAAAAAAGTCAAAAGAACAGAGGGGTTTTTCCAACATTGGTAAACCTCTTTCTATGAGGAATAAGCCTTTTTCCAAAAGAGCTCTTTCGGAAAAAGGCATGTGTGGACGGGGAAGAGGGAGTTCTTTAGAAAGAAGAGGAAAGAGGAAAAAGCACAGCTGCCCTGGTGGCCACTCTGTCCGTAGCAAACACAGCTTAAATGTGAGATAGTGTCCATTCAGTGTGGATGCTATCTTTCAAAAAAGCGATCTGCTTTTTTGAAAGATCACTTTGGCAATGTGGATGCTGTCTTTTGGAAGAAGTTTTTTTGGAAGATCTCTTCTGGAAAATCTGCTTCCAAAAGAAGCCTGCAGTCTAGACGTAGCCACAGAAAGAAGTCGGGGTCCCCCCACCTCTTTTACATGGGGATATTAGATATCTCCCATATCGTCCCTTTGCCTCCTTTCTGCCATCTGATCCCAGCAACTGCTTCTAACCCCTGGATGTTCCGAGACTGACTCGAAACCCATCCTCAGAGTGGGGGTTGCACAGCACAGAGGGGAAAGTAGTGCAAGTAATCATGGACTCCATCCATTAACTTACACAGCTTTTCCCGGCAGGGCTAGCCAGGGCAAACTCAGAGGAACATGCCAGCCTCTCTCCACTTCCAGCTCTGTGGAAATCGAATTCCACAGAGCTCCCCAGAAAAGGCATTTATGGGGTCAAGAGGAGTGTCCAAGAGGTGGCATTTCCTCCAAGGGCACAGGCTCCTTTCTGTGCATGAACACAGAGGGGGACAAAGTGCTGACGTTTCCCAATGTGTAAAATGGGGATGCTAATAAGTCAAGTTTTGTAAAGCACTTTGCAATTTTCAGGTGGGAGGTGCTACAGAAGTGCTCAGCCTTGTAAAATGTTGAGCCATATGAGTGAATTTCACTCCTGGGCAGTGGAGCTAATACATCACTTACATCTCAAAATAGGTTCCCTTCACACTCACAAAATAGGATTGAATTGTGGCATAAGCTATGTGGGGCCTTTGCATAGGAGTGAATTACACCCTGTATAAAAATGCCAAATATTATTAGCATTACTAGCTAGTTTCATTTGGATCAAAAATAGCATGAAGACATACATTCTTGACATATTTATATTTTTGATCTTAGTAGAAACCAAGCCATACTAACAAACGTAAATAGGACAAAAAAAGTTAACCAAAATAACTGTCTGTCCTTCAAAATGTTCAAATGGACTTTTAATTTCTCTGTGTCAGTTTGTCCTTCCCTGAAAGAAATATTTTTCAGTACTTACGGTCTTTAACCAATAACATCATAAATGCTCAGATTGTTTGTTTTCCCAAATCCCCAGCTTCCCGTTACTCTCAGTCCTAGCCTGAATGTTGTCTTTCAGAGCAGTGCCTTGCAGAATGGACTAATCTCTTTATTTGGCATAAGAAAAATTATGTAACTCTCACAAAATATTTCCATCTGTCCATGAGTCATCTGAGCTAATTGGTATGGCAAGTCAATTAGGGATACATTTTCAGCATAATGCACAGGGAGTTAGATTCCCGACTTCCATTAACGTTAATGAGAATCCCAGGGTTAAATGCCCAGGCTCCACATTACCAATTTCCTTCTAAAGGTCAATAGCAAAACACTTTGATTCTGAGGAATAAATACCAGTCATATCAGCAATGGACACTCTATTACTGCTCAAACCTCAGTAAGCAGAAGAGATTATAAACTGATGTGCCTCTCTAGCTGCTGATGTTATTGGTGTCGCTTAAAAATCCAACCATATTAGTCTTCCTTTTCTTAGCAAGATCATTTTTCATAGTTTTCCCTGGGGTGGTCTCTTCTACCTGCAACTCTGGACTCATCATCCCAAGAGATCTTAGAAAGAAAACTTTTCCTATGGGAGGAAATTAGTAAGGTTACATTTCCCCACAGAAAAGTAATTGTTTACTCTTTTCTGTTCTGTTATTGAAAGATGTGTTTTTAATAAGCACTTTCACCCCATTGCCTGGATTATTATACCTGCCTACATCCTGTTACAAAACAAGCAGATTTTCAATTTGCATAGAGCACTGTCTGAAGACACCAGGGCTTCTAGTGTCTCCCTAAAAACATACACCCCAATGAATTAATTCATTCTGTTCCCTCCTCTGAGCCTCCCAGCAATTAATTTTGCTTCACCTCAGCCCCCCATAATCTCTTCAGATCGG